AAGTCCGTGAGCCGATGACGAAGACAACAGAGCGTTTCTCGACCGAATCTCCTATATCTAAGAAAGTAGCCCGCCTGCGTCGTCCACTACCTCCTTGGAATTCCCCCGGACGAATATTGAGAAACTTCGATGGGCTAGGTGAGCGTGTTCGCACGCGCTTGTCGTACGGAGCCGACAGGTTTTCAGGTTGAGGTCTGCAGCTCGCAACGGGCCTTGCAGGGGCAAGTTGTATTAATCCTTATTAGGAGCGTCCTTAGGGAAGACAAGGCAAGCTCTGCTCGGCCTAAAATTACCTCTTAAAACAAAAGTATCACACCGGGGAATTGTCACCCAACTCGACCAAGCAGCCGGCACGCCGCCTACCCGCTCACCCGCCGTTTCCCCGCTCGCAGTCTTGCAGAGCGACGCCCGCCCGCCACCCTGTCAGCCTGCCGCTAGCCGACCAGCCGCTCCCTCTTCGGAAGTGAACGACTCGTCCTAAGGAATGGCGAGAGTATGGACTCATTCAAAACAAGACACAGTCACTCCAGGGAGGCGGAAACGATAAACAGCTCCAGTGGAATCCGCGTTTGATCGACTCGGAGCACGAAATGGAGGAGAATAAACGACAGGACTCACATACCAATTACAAGAAAATCTTCTCCTCCGCGTGAACATCCGACTCCGCTCCCGATCCCTGCGCGCCACTCGTTTTTCTCAAGGTCCGGGAGTTTTGCTCAAAGAAGTGAACTACAATCAGGAGCGAGTGGTCTTGAAGGGAAGCTCTCGCTTGTCAGATCTGTCTGCATGTTCCACCCCTGCAGGTTTTTTTCTCCGTCTCTCTTTCTGAGGAGGGGCACGAACCCTGAGGGCCTAAACTCAATCAGTTCCTCACATTTCATATTCCCTTGTCCGTCACCGGCCGAGACCATTCTTTGCGTCGTGGAACTTCACTCAAGGTAAAGGGGAATTCGGGAGAGGTGTTCCACTGTTTTCGAATCTGCCCGTCTGGCTGTTCGGGGCGCTGTTTCTTGGAGCTAACGAAGAAGATCATTTTTTTTCCAAGACTGAAAACCTCCTCTCCCTCGACGCTTCGACACCCGGCGAAATCCTATACTTTCGGAGCGGGTATTTCTGGAGATCGCCTACGCATATACTTCGAACAGATACGCCGCCACAAATTATGTCAAATTATGTGCGGCGCGACCTTCGGGTTCCCTCTTGAAGCGCGTCAGCCCGCCCAGGAGTCCACGATGATGATGAATTTGGGTTAATCCCCCCCCCATTCGAAAACGGATTCACGATCAGCGGAGAACAAGGGCGCATTGGCGACGATATCTCGTCATCTTATTCGGAGTCGAGCTGGCAATGTCAGAGGTGGCGAGCCGGGCTGTGTGCCGAAGAATAAAAAGAAAGTGACCTCTCACACGTCAGTCCGTGTTTCTCGAGCCTCTCGTCGCGTCGGTGTTCGTTAGCTGTGTGGATTCGCTTCTCAACTCATTGGGATTCTGATGGTTATTTGTTATTCCGATCTTGGATCTCCGCCCCGAGAATTTCCGAATCCGAGAACAGTGAGCGACGTGCTCAGGTAGTAGTAAGATAATTCTATGGTGGCCGTTGAAAGTGTTTTTCCTCACTCCCTCGTTCCCATTCTGAAATCTCCCTTCTTCTTCGGGGCTTAGCGGAATGGATGTTTTGATTCAAGCCACAATCGAACGCTCTCACTTTCGCAGCCTGCGATTTTTTATGCTTTTTCCACCCTACGCTCTCTCTCTCCCTCCGTTCCTCCCTGTGATACCTCCCCTGTCAAGAATACCCGCAGTTGCTCCGGCACATTTGGCTTCTTCCGAGGGAAACGGGAGCTTTACCAGCTCCCCCCACTCAATCGGCGCTTCGAGCCCTCTCAAATTGATAACCCCGAAACGTCGTCGTTGTCGTCGTCGTGGTCGACGCGGTTCCTTTCGAATGATTTATTCACGTCACGGCATTCTTCAAAATCCTCTTCGACTTTCCCTACTGGAGCCGTCGCGTCGGTCCGCTCGCCGGCTCTCCGTTACTTTTCCACTCTCTCCCGGTTGCCTCTCCGATCCCTCGTCGTTTTTCCCCTCTTATTTTTCTAACAGCGTTCATTCTCGATCCACGAGAAACTTCGCCAGCGAGCAGGAAGCAAGCCGGTCTGACCACGTGGAGAGATGGACGACTCCCCTTCTCCACAGCAGAGGCTTCGGACTCCTCCAGTGGAGTGAAGGAAATCCTTAGAAATTGCCCGAGAATGACCCACGTCAACCACGGAAGAGATTGAAGAAAGTGCTAGGAGGATATTGTTTTCTCTCGTAGGTCCGGACCCGGTAGTGAAAACACGGATTGCAGTTCCTCAAAAGCGTTCGGAGGAGGAATGACTCGGTCGGATCAGCTGGTCTTTCATCTTCGGTCGCTTTCTCCTCCTCAGGCCTCCTGACTTCTCCACCAAATCTCTCCCCATCCACTTCTCTGAAACCACGAGCTCCCCCCACTGAGAGTCCGATTTCGCCAGCGGAGGTCGAATAAGAAGGAAATTGGTGCGAAAGCGCGGATAACTCATCCGATGCGCCAGCGTCGTACGCTTGACCACCTTGAAAATTCATTCCTCTCGCTACAGACTCCAAACTCCTTATCACTATTTCCGCTGGTGATCTTGTTGATCCGAAGTTTGCTTTCGGCGCCGACGACGGCGGCGTGGCAGTAGAACGACATCGAAATGCTCTCCACCAGTGAAAGCCGTGTCGCTGCAGGGGAGCCGATGTTCCAAGTCCTCATTGAAGTCGTTTGAAGTAAACTCTAGCTTCGTTTTTACACGTGACAACAGCAAAGATGCAGGTGTACGTACGTACGAAGAGGATCCGCTTGAGAGGCACGAGGAAGGTAGACAGATAGTCGCGACTCGGCTCCCTAACCCACTGCAAGCAAACTGATCAGAGCGGCTCCAGAGCTCGAATGAAAACACGAACCGGTCGATTTGAGACCCGTTTCGCATTTGCACGCACCGATCGGCACCAATCATCATCATCGGCCATCACTCAGAAGCCGACCCTCTCTTTCGGTGCATCGTTCCGACCTGACGCTCACGTCAGACATCATAACCCGCTCAGGAGAGTAAGGGGTGTCGAAGCCGAGGTGAGCAGCGCTGATGTTGGTTGCAGTCGCGGTCGGAGCGAAGAGATGAAAAGCTTCATTACGTAGTCTGGTCTTCACGGGAAAAAGGCTCCTGGTTAATATCCGGAATAATTGGGCCAATCGAATGACGATGCAGCTGGCCTCGATTCGTTCCCCTTTTACCACTCTCGCCACCGAATGGGCTGGCGTAGTAATCATGTGCGCTGCATTCGGCTGGGTTCGCGCCGTAGCTTTCTGTTGGCGGAACGCATCAACCCGAGTCGCTGCTCGTCTGTACAAGTCATTTGTGAATCCTATCGACCGTCAGCGAGAATTCTCCAATTCAATCCAGCTACGCGAGAGATTCTCGATTCTGCCACCAGGATCAAAAAAAGATATCACATTCCTCGTGATCTGCAACGAAGATTTTCAGGATAAAAACCCTCAGAGCATAGTCGAAATGCTGTCGATAAGTTGCGGTCTCGTCTTCCACTCCGAGTCGCCGCGGCTCGGATAGAACTCCTCGCTTGGGACGACAGTCTCAGAGATCTTTTTTTTTTGCACGGCAGTGGAAGTCGGCTTACTTGTTCCGTTCGCCAGTGAATTTGAATTCGAGATTTCGCGGCAGACAAAAATGATCCAGAGCCCATCGGGTGGCCATTATGAGCTGAAATCTCCACATTCGCCTTGATATCTTCACTGACGCAACCCCACCCATTCTCATTTCCTCTGATCGGTTTAGCGCCAAGTCGTGATCTGCGCTCCAAGACTCCCCTCGTTCCATATGGGACGAAGTATTTGGGATCGTCCTCCTCCTGGCTCCGTGCGATGAGCCTAAGCGAAGCCCTTCCTCCAGGAGGCACTATTCACGGGGATGAGGGGGAAAAATTGAATCATGTTCATGTGGGTTCGATAAACGCGTTTGGTTTTCGCAGGGGAAGAATCGAGAGACTGCTGCGAGGTCCCGCTGAAGGTGTCAGCGCGCCTACGGCAGAGAGCTCCTGACAAGCGTGCGGTTTCGATCGCCTATCGCAGAACTTCGAAGACGGCCGGTCTGCATCTGACATTTACGCAGACCTCTAGGAGCGAGCTCTGCTGAAGATTGTTGTCTGTATTTCGATTCCGTCAGAACCCTAGAGGCCCAGAGTGGATTCATATCGGGTTCACAGCGTCAGATGTCAAATCTCTCTTCTTTGAAAGGATGACCATTGTTGGGCATCCCGATTCGTACACGTTCCCGAGTGCAGGAGAAGCCTGCCGGTCTCTTTGGCAGACTCCTCAGACTACTCGCCGATCCGCTGTGCCGCTCGGAACCATCGAGAGGCACAGCGGATCTCCCGCGACCGCTGGCGCCATCTGCACATCGTCCCGGAGAACTCGCAAGTCCTGACCACCAATCGGATATCAAGTGATCCGCAAACCGGTCATGAGCAGGAGTCAGCCTATGAGATACGGGAGAAAGGAGTGGATGATCAAGTCATATACCCCTTGAATACTAACTGAGTGATCTCAGTCAGATACGGTCGCTCAAGATTCCTCAGCTCTTTTGAAATTATTGTTCGTCACCCATGCAACGCCGAGTCTGACGTCGCAGATTCCCACGGAAAATCTCGTTGAGGCACTCCGAGGGTCGCTAGGACTTAGGACGAAAATTACTCCCGGCCGACTCCTCGAAGAATCAGGATATTGGAGGCGGAATGCTTTTTTCCCCCTTCCCGAGTACGGCGAATAATACTGACTGTCTATTGAAATCGGAATTCCGTACGGCAGAATCGTCCCGAGTATCTTGCTGGCAGAAACTGTTCTCCGATATTCCCTCTTTCAAAGGAGAGCGTCGCTCCCATGGATATCATTGGAGCACAAATTCGAGAGGGTTCACAGTTTCGGAGTTAATTTATTTCAGGAGAGGGAGATTTCGAGCATCCAGATGTTGCAAATATTGGCCAAACTGTCCGACAAGTGCGGGCCTTCGGATGGGATGCGATAATTTCTAGACCCTTAGCATCGAAGTTGTTCACGGCGCCGTCTGCCCGATGTGGTGCGAGTCTCGTCCCATTAAATTCTAGCGCCCCATCGGGATCGGACGCGAAATCAGCAATCATTCTGATCGTTTTCTGTATGTAAAGTTTGTCTGCATCGGCCATTTGCCCGTACAAAGACAGATATTGACCCCCGGCTCCCGTATAGAACATCAAGCCATGGTAGGCACCTTTTTCCCGCTCACCTGGAAAGGTCTCATCTACCCGAAGGCGTTGCCAACGGTAGAAGTAGACATTCGGTTGAACCGTTGAGTAGCGATTGGCGAAATTCATCACCGGGCACACGAATAATGCATCGCCTATTATTTGAGTAGCTTCGTTGAAGAGTGTTTCCCCTGCGGAGCTTCGATTTCCGTCCCTCCCATGGTAGATATCTCTGATAGTCTCGTTCTCTGGACCGTACTGAGCAGCATCGGCGGCATGGTGACCTCTTAAAATGTTTATGTCCCATTCCAGAACTTGCTCGAAGTTCTGAAAACTTGGCAGAGGACCATGTACTTTTTTGGAGAGGAGGAATAAACCCTCATTGGTGGTATCGCCGATAATTATCGGGACATTCACGGCGAAGGCTTTCTCATTAGTCATGCATGAAGGCGACCGTGGAAGATATTTTTCATTGTTGAAGGTGGGCCGGAACGTGTAAGTCTGACTCACACCGTATTCGTTCTGGAGCTCGACCAATCGCTTCGCGTCCATTCCCATCAGGCAATCCAGGATTTCCCTACGCTGATCCTTCGATGAGTCATTTCTTAAGTTCGGACAAACGCTCGCTTGCACCATCTGGCGTGCTCTCAAGATGTGGTCTCGTTTAGTTTCGGCATGTGTGAGGGTCAGAACTCCCGCATCGATGACCGCCGCGTGGAACAGACCCGCAGACAAGCCCGTCAGTAGATGCCACGAAATCGAGAAGGATCCAGCACTGACGCCGAAAAGTGTCACTCGATCCGGATCCCCTCCGAAGTATCGGATATTTTGTTTGACCCAGCGCAAAGCGAGCACCTGGTCCAAGTGACCCTGATGGCCCGCTGCGTGCGGGAGACCCAGATCCAGGAATCCGAAAACTCCCAATCGATAATTGAGATTCACAACGACGAGATCCTCGAAAAAAGCCATCTGGGGTCCTCGCCAATCGAACTCGTGGCCGTCTCCCGCGACGTAGCCGCCTCCATGAATGATGAATACGACGGGTCTGAGATCGCCATTCTCCGTCCCTCGTCGTTTCCAGACGTTCAGGTAGAGACAGTCCTCGCTGAATAGATTACTATCGTTCGTGAAGAGCCCGGGCTGCTGCATGCAACCTGCTTTCCATTGCGTGGCGTCGAATTCCGCACCCAAGGTATGGACGGGCCTCAGAGAGGCTTCTCTGAATCGATTTTTGCCGACTGGTTTCGTAGCGAAAGGAATCCCGAGGTAGGCTTCGACGGAATCCTGGGTGTTTGGATCGTAGATGGAAGTATTGTAGTAGAGACCTCTCAATTGAACGGAGCGTCCTGCATCACGTCCAACTCTGAGGAAGGGGCCACACGGCACGCGGATCTCAAAATCTGCGTCTGATATACCGTAGATATATCCACATGACAGCAAGACCAGCACGCGGCAATAACTCGCCGACATCTCTACACAAGGAGCAGTCGAATTCACTCCCCCTCAGCTCGTCAGTGTGAAACGGACGATGTTCGCTCTTAGCTCATCGCTGCTTACCGCTTGAGGTGTTTTCCCGAAGAGCAGCATGAGCCGGTTGTCCGATGCCAGCGCCAATCTACACGATCGTGGTCCAACTTCGAGGCGCGCAGCTCGGTCTGGCGGAGAAAAAAACAGGAATGAGGGGTTTGTGAATTTCCCGGACGCGTCGTCGGATTCTTGCGGCTGAGACTGTCTAATAGAGGCAACGGGAGACGGAGGAGTCCCGCTTGTGCAAAGCCCCAGCGTTTTCGAATTTTTCGAATTTCCCCTCATGACGCATAGCCCGATAGGAGTAAGAATTCCCATTCAAGTGTCTGCTTGCTTTCACTTAGTCCGAGTCTCGATCATGGTCATCACCGGACCCCAGGTAGAAGCGCCCCGACCTCAACGGAGGAAGAAGATGAGACTGAGGATTTTGTTAGTTCTCTGGACGCTGCGACACCATGATTGCGTAGAGCTTGCTCCTTCCCGCAAGATTTTATCTTCTCTATATATAAAAGTCAAAACCCGTCTGTATGTTCGTCCTCATTAGGCTACTACACGCAGGATCACCCTGAAGTTTCGCAAGCACAGCGATACCAGTATGGGGAAGATCATTGACGACTTAATTCTGCGTACTCCTCCCTCAAAAGTGGTTCAATTTTCCCGCTCCTCACCTCACATCATTGTTCCGAGCTGAGTCAAGGGAGCGGTGAATTTGTGGTCACCGAAAAGTGCATGAGACACTAGAGTTGTGATATCGGCATTCATAGCTTTTTGAATCGGTGTTCCTCTGTACCCTGTGTATTCCTCGAGGAAGAGGTGAGGGTTCATTGAAGATTTGGCTGTTAAGGGGGGGGACTGCTCGACAGGTAACCATTTGGTAGAGATGCCACCCGAAAGGCGATCACTCAGTCGTGTCACGCGTCAAGGCCGCCAGAAGCGCGCTCGACGAGCATCGAGGAGTGAGGCGCATCGTGAAGCCGAATAAGAAAGCGAACACCGTTAATTCGAACGCGATTCAGTAAAAATCTATAACCATCAGAGAGCGAGCTTCTAGGAGCTCGGTCGCCGGGAAGAAGCGACAGGCTCTGCTAGTCTATCTATAAAGTACACTTCGTGTCTGCCTGACCCTATTAGCTGCCGAATTATGGATTCCGGCATAATTGTCCGCCCCAGCTGTGGGAGGGTTTCATTATTCTTCAAGGAGGGATATCTCCTTGAAGCTCGGGGATTCCTCTGAGATATCCGTTTATTTTCCGTTTTGCTACACATAGTCGTCTTCGATCGCTCCCCACGGATATAGTGGCGAACCAGCGAGCTATCTTCCCGCAGAAATGACTCCTGAAGTGGGAGATGAGATGGATGACGGGAACGATAATCAAATAATTAGGATTGGGAGGCGAGGGGGAGAGTCGGTAAAGGATGGGGGTGTATGGGAATTGGGAAGAATGGGAAAAATGTGAGAAGATCCGAGAGCAGGAGAGGAACGGGTGAAACGGACAAACGAGGTAAAAAGAGTGGCGGTAAAATAGAAGGGAGGAGTGGAAAATCATCGGAACGGGAAAAAAACAGAGATTTGGCGGAAGAGAGCGGGAACAGGCAGGAAATAATAATCGGGAAATGTGAGACAGCGAGTAATGAGAACGGGGAGAGAGGAGGCAAGCTGCGAGAATATCATGAGCATGAGACACGGCAGGCGAGGAGGGGAGTAGGGAGTGAATGGGAGAGATATGAGAAATAAGAGGAATGGAAAGATGAATGGGAACAGGAGCCATGGTAGGATACGGACATCTGAGAGCAGAAGAGAAACGAGGTAAATGCGGGGGAGGACGAAAAATAAACAGGGGAAAAGAGGAAAATAACAGATACAGGCAAAGTGTGGGGGAGCAGGGAATGACCTGGAAAAAAGGAGAAGACGGGAAAGAGGAGAGAGAAAGTGAAGGAAGAAGAGGAATCGAGAGTAGACGAAAAATAACGGGAGAAGATTCGAACCGGGGAAAGAATAGGAACGGGAAAAGATCAGAGATCCGGGCGGGAAGAGACACAGAGAGAGATCAGGCTACGAGACAGGGAACGGGAAGACGAGAGAATCAGGGGCTGGCGGATAGGCGGTTGAGCGAGAAAAGTAAGGAGGGACAGGAAAGGACTCAGTCAGGCAAGTAGAGGAAGGCTTAGAAGGGTAAAAGGGGTAGCGGGAGAAGGAGAGGAATCAAGACTACGGAGACAACGGGGAAAATGAAGGGTGAATGAAAGAAGAACGGGAAGGGGGACTCGAAGAGCATCGGGTGAAGATCTGAGGTTTGGCATAACGGAGGAGAGGCTCGGAGTGTGAAGGACAAAAATTGAAGAGGAGAAGATGATTGGAAAAATTTGAGAGAAGAAGGAAGAGGGGCCTTGCATGAATATGCATCGAAGGGGTATTTCTCTGCTGAAAATGTACATATACGTCGAGGCTTCATGTGTAAAGTCCTAATTGCGACGCCCGAACGCATCGCTAAGACTGTCTGATAGGGGCACCGGAGAACGGAGAACTCCCGCTCGCGCAGAGCCCCAGCGTTCTCGGATTTTCCAGATTTCTCCTCATGAAGCAAAGTCAAAAAGAGTAGGAAGTCCTATTCGAGTGTCTGTCTGCTTCTACTTAGTCCGAGTCCCGATCATGGCCATCGCTGAACCTCAGGTAGGGTCAGCCCAACCTCGATGGCGAACCGCACGATTTGGGTCTTTGTGTGTCGTCGGTTTTAAGTTCCTTCAACATGCGGGCACTCGAGCACAACCCAACCTATGATCGACGGCATAGTCCTAGCTCCGAGAGTCCCCGAGCAAAACTGTCGCTCGAGCTAGTTTTCCACGCCATAGAGCTCAGTCCGCCTGGTTTAGGTGCAAAAGCCCATATTGAATGCTCATTTTACCTGCTTTCAGTGCATATTCCCGCTCTTTTGGGTGCATGATAGTCCGAGCTCTAAATGAGATACGATAGCAAACATCTCGATAGAATGGACTGACTCGAAGACACTCCGGAAGGTCTTTTTCTACGATCGGACACGCGACACTTCCCAATACCTCTAAACTGTCACAAATGCGTGTCACGCGATCGACTCCCCGGTCAAGACTGATTCGATTCGCAGGAGGCATGCTATTACAAGCTAAGAAAAATTATGAGATTCTGGCGTCGATGAGCCCCTACTCTCCGCAGCGAATTGGCGTGCGGGTGCTATAAAAAGTGATTAGCTATCGCGAACAGCAGACATTTTTAGCGATCTCCACCGGGATTGACCCAGATGGAATAATGTCAGCATTGTTCGTAGCCTAGGAGTCCTAACAGAGGGAGAAGGCTGGCGATGGGCGTAATCGATGGAGCATGTCACCCGCCGTCGAGCTGGGATAGACGAATCTAATTTCGATTTCGCAGTACGCTTCCCAGAAATCACAGCGGAGTAGTGTCTCGGAGTATTGTGCTGCTCCAAGAAAAGAGGCATGGAATCAACCACAACGGTGTATATCCATTATATTCGTTCACTCTCTCGTGGATTGTACCCATGGATAAGAACCAAGGACTCCGACCGTCTAAGTCTGGTCGATGATCCCGCGATCCGGACAATACGTGGGCACCATAGTTCATGCCCGTCCTAGATGCTGGTCGAGAATCGATCGTCTGCCTCCGGCCACTGCGAGACTTTCCAGATATGAGCCAGTCACCGATCTCGCGTACTTCTCGCGGAGAGGGGAAGATGCCTGGCCTGATCATCGATTCTTCCAAGATTAAACGATAAATTCGTCCCTGTCTCACCTCGAAGATGGGAATCATTCAAGGGTAGCTTGCCGGCAGTCGATTTGAAAGCTAGATCCTGACTTTCGTTTAAATCGAGTCAAACGTCACAGAGCTCTCGCTTGATCTCCGCGACGGAGTTCGAGTTGCGCCTGCCTCGATCCACTCTGTGATCAAGTTCGAGACAGTTACTCACCTCCTAATCAGGGATCGAGTCGCTCTGGGCGGATCTGGACACTTGCGGGCGTAGGACCATCCTCCCGCACATCACTGCTACAGCAGAACACATGTCGAAATTCCTCAAAGTATGGAGGGACGATGAGCTGCCAGACGTTGGAGAGCGTCAGCTGCGGAATCCCTCCTCACGGATGTGGAGACCTTATAGGTGTCTGCATCTGCGTCTGTTGGCGGGACAGAACATGAGAAACATGGGGAAGCATGAGATGGGGATCCTGCCCCGCCCATACCGAGAAGATCTTATGGTGAGCTCCGGATCTCAGTCTGCTTCCTCGCTTCCCATCAAAATTCACTCTCGGTCGGATAGGGAAATACATGCTCCTATGCGATATATCTTTTTGGAGTACGAGTAGAGCTGCCAACTGCTCGGTTTAACCATAGGGTCTTTTCAACTCATGAATATCATAGTCGAATGGCGTTCGCGAGTCTGTGACGAATGTGCCGTGCGGCAGCAGGAACGTATCGGATGCGAACGAGGAAAAAAATATATGTTGCGATTCGATTTTCCAAAAGAAGCACATCTGGAATCTCGGAAGGCTGCACAAGACTCTACCTTTGCTCCACTTTGATCATGTGAAGCCATGGATGATTCAGTGATGATTTTTTTCTCAGCATTTTTGTTCCCTTATCAGATGTCTCGGTCTTCATTCCCGATTGATATAATCCTCTGGAGGAAGATAAACCATTTCTCGAGCAGCAGGATCGAAAAATATCAGGATTGCTTGCTAAGCATAGCTTCCTGCTCATACGACGCGAAATTCATGCGGGAGACCGACGCGTGACCGGTTTTGACGAATTTTGATTTATTGCTTCGGACAATTTCAGATCCCATCGAGTAGAGAGACTGAGGTCGGGGTTCTAGACGAAACTTTTGATCCGAAATCAATCGTCAGATCTGGTTAGTTCCTCAAAACCAGCCGGATCGGTGGAAGCACTATATCTCGAAGACATGATCCTGTCAGTGGCATCTGAATATGGGTCGCTCCATCGGCTCATGCCCTGGTAGCACTATGCGACTGCTTCTCGTTTGAGGATCGGGGACCGGAAAGAAGCACAGGAGCTAGACGACCACAGGAGAAGCGAAAGGACTCCACTCCGCCATCTTAGTCGTCTAGGATGAACGTAAACATCGCGCACAGTCGATTCGAACACCCGAGATATCCTGATATATCTCCCATCGGAGCGTTTCATTTTCCTCTAAATTCCGCTACAGTAATCGGTGAGTCCTCGCGCCATGAAGCATTGCGGAAAAGTTGGACGCGACGGTTTTTCAGAGTTCGAGCACGTTGTGATTCAGTAACAATAGATGGCGAACATGCTCCATCCGAGAATTCGCCTGAAAACCACCTCGGTTTCAAAGAATGAAACGCGATCTCAGAGAATCCCGGCATGCTTGTGGGATCTTTCAATGGGTGAACAGAAGGGAAATTTCGCACACTCGGTTTTTTCGGCAGGTCCGAGACCGCCATGTCGAACGAAGGTCTCTCCACCGGCAAGACCGTGGCTATCCTCGCCACGGTCGTCATCTGCCTGTCGGTGCTATGGCCGAAATGTTTCTATCCTATGTTCCTGACAGCTCTGAAGTGAGTATGGTATTGGACAGTGACTTTCTCCGACGCATTCTCGTACTTATCGAGCGAAGGCCTTAAAAAATACCCTTTTTCTAGTCGCAACGACGATACAGCCGGTCTCCCACCTTGGAGACCCCCGAGAGGCGCGATGGCAGCCCGGCTGGCGGAGAACGGGAGGAGCATCCCCAATCCCAGTATGCGCGGTCGTCACAAAGATCCAGCGCCCTCCACGTTCAACGTCTTCATGCCGGTGTACACTATGGTCATGATTCTGGTTTTTGTCTTCATGATCTTCAAAATAATATCCAGATCCAGTTCTCGGAAAACCCGCTCGGAAAACGGAAGGTGAGACGGACGGTCCCGACTGGCTCCGGCTTATTAGCCTTATCCGCTTCGTGTCGAGAGAGCTCTCTAGGAGTTTCATTACTTCCATGTCTCTCTGGCTGTGAGCTCATTGCCAATTGCAGAATACCTAGCGACTTTCCGAACCAGGCCGGGCAGCGTGTTTCGGATGGTGTTGGACAGAACAATAACTTCGAGGGTCCAAAGAGGAATCGCAAGAATCTCCGGGATGGTAAGATGGACCGAGAAGGGGGATGAAATAGTCTGATCAGCCATGGACACGCTTGACACTTATCTACATTGCAGCCTTCCTGAACAATACCGAGCGTATTCTGAGAACCTATGGTAGAGAGAAGATGGTGGACGCTCTCAACGTCGTGGTACACGAGCTCGCCGAGTACCAACGGGCTATTGAGCTGTCTCAGCAAATTGAGGATAAAATCCTTGAGAAAGAGGCAAAGGTGAATAAGCTCGATAAGTCCCTTCATCCCTCCCCATTCGGGGTGCTTGCCCTCCGATGAACGCGCTCCGCAATGCGGGCGTCATCAGCGACTCTCGATATATTTCCATCATTTTTCAGATAAAGCGGATGTTAGGTGAAAAATATGTCGCCCAACCTGGGGCTGAGGCGGAACCTCAGGCTCAGCCGCTAGAAGAGTCGGGACCTGACTCAGAGGCGCAAACAGGAGCGGATCGACAGCCAGAAGTGCAGGGAGAGCCAGAGACCGAGATGATGGACGAGCGAGATTTGATTTCCGAAGACCCGACCGATAGCGGAGGCTGCGAATCGGACAGCAGCGCTGTTGAGGTTGTGGAGCCGCCACTCGATTCTGAAAACGTCAATTGCTCGAGCAGTCAGTCGGATGCGAGCCCCGAGCCCATCGAAAAGATTATAGAAGCAACAGAGCTGAGCGAGATTTGCCGCAATAGTGAAGGTCTGCAATTCATTGATCACGTCACGGAGATCAAGCCTGGCGAAAGTTTAAGCTGCTACGACGAGCTGATTTACGGCGAATCCGTTGCGGCTCCTATTCAAGCTCCAGAAACGGAAATGTTCAAAGATTACGAGCACTGGCAGTCGATCTCGCCCGAGGAGCTATTCCAAGCCACCTCATTCGAGACAACACATTACAAGGAGACCGCCAGGAGCCGGAATTTGAGGCGGAGGAAGCATAGGAACTTCGAGACGCACTGATCGTGAGTTGCTGGGATCAGTTGAAAGTCAAGGAGGTGTGCGGCAACGAGTGCTCTCTGTGTTCCTTCCGAGGGAAATTGCAAAGCGCGGCGCGACGCACCTCGCCTCAAGTTGTAAATATCATGCTGCTAGGCGCCGGACGGCGGCAATAGGGGGGGTCTAGGATAATATTCGAGGGCAGGGTTTCTTGTTGCCCATTGACATATGTACTCCGAATGTTGAGGTAAATGATGCAGTCACATCCACCTAATATACGCAAAAATTGACTGGATGCTCCTCCTAGATTCGGGTAAATCTGTATTCGAGGGCAGGTTGAAGCTAAGAGTTCAGCTTCATTATTAGAGATTAGTCAATAAAGAGCGGGTGAACTCGAAGACGAACTCCTGTTTGATCGGGAGAAGATAGCTTACGAGAAAAGTTCTCACAAAACTTTTTTGTTCGCCCCCCTGTTGCGGGGACTTCCCCCACGGATCCTCCAGAGCTGCTCTTATCATTCAGGATGATATTCTCCCGCTTCTGATTCCACTCGAGAAGGGGTTCCACATTCGAACAGAACAAAGGTATTTCCGCATGAGCTCCCAACTGACGGCGACGGAAAACACAAGACAGCGAAAGCTCGAATAAATGTCGAAGTAAAAGTATTTACATAGTCAGAAGTCACTACGCTTCGAGCAGTCGGGTGGTGTCGTCCCATGCTTGGAGACGTTTCACTTCGATGTCGCGTAGAAGAAAGGGATCTTCAGCGTCTTCTCGCCTCCTTCTTCCCGTTCGCGAAATTCTGGCTCCAAGAGTCTTGGCCTGATATCCGAACTGCAGATCAAATTTTGAGGCATTTCCATCACCACAAGACGTCCGACGGTTTTTTTGCGAAGAGCTGTGTTGTCCCGGCAAGAATTGTAAGTCACGCCGCGTCGTATGAGATCGTACTAAGAGACTGCTGTCTCGATATACCAGACTGGCTATTTCCATATAGTTTCGTTCCGGATGCTCATTGAGCTTAACAAGTACTTCGCTGGAGAAGTCGAATTTTTCGGAACTTGATCACTGTAACGCTTTACAGAAAAATTTCTGCTTCGCGCGGATTGCCTCGCCGTGCGTGTTGATAATGAAGGCGTAGTTGACACAAGGAGCCACGAGCGTCAGAAGATGGCCAACTAGCCTACATCGTTATCGATAGCGCCCGCGCAATCGGCAATTTTGGCGCGGAGTAAGCTTTGACTTTCAGAGGCACGGGAAAATGAAACTCAGAGTGAAAAGGTCATTTTTCGCCATATCATTGTGTTGCCTGCTTCACGTGCACCAGACTTCGGCGCGCGATTCCCGGCAGCGCTCGGAAGTGTTCATAGACAGTGAGGAAGTTATATTCGATGGAGTCGGCTACGAAGTTCACGATGATTGGAGACCGATGACCGAGGAGCCCGTCGATCTCAAGCAGCGTCCTACATCGCCTCCGAGAACAACGATCACAGAAATCCCCCGGACGAAGGACATCACGTCCCAGACAACCTCGACGGCAACGACCGCGGGCTCGATACAAAGAGACTCGGTGGGAACGACCACTGTTTCGCCAGTGAAAAAAGTTTCGACGGCTTCCGTGGAGCACGCAGCATCATCCAATACGACCGACGGAATCGCTGCAGTGTCTCCTGGTACGACCAGGGCGCCGTCAGTCGGACTAGCGAACACAACGATTCCGCTCTCGACAACTGCTAGTACCGCCGCAAATTTCTCGAGTACGACGCCGATGCCGCCCGAAATGCCCTCTGATTCACAGCCCGAAGATGAACCATCGAACACGGACATTCCAGCTCCTCGGGGTAAGTTCGGGACGCGGAACACAAAACGCCGGAGCTAAGAATTCATTCGACCACACCAGATATCAGAGAGTGATTGGCTTTGTCTTTCTAAAAAAGCTGGCTGTGGTGTGAGCGCATTCCCTGACGATGAGCCGGACTTCCGGATAGTGGGAGGACGCGACGCAGACCGTGGCGAATGGCCCTGGCAGGTCTCGATCCGACTGCGGCATCCCACCGCTGGGAAATTGGGTCACTGGTGTGGAGGTGCCATCGTCAACCGCAGGTGGATCTTAACCGCTGCTCATTGTATAGTCAAGTAAGACTCCCTAACGCCAGATGCGATTTTCATTAGGCTTATATCCACCCTCCAGTCCTAACTTTAGATATCGATCTCGTTCGTTGAATAACACTCGCGTCGCGGAAATCGGGACATTCCGCCGAACTCGGAGTTTTGAGGCGAGAGGAAGGGCATACGGGCTTTGCAAAAAGGGACGAATTGTTCATCTGAAGAAACTACTGTGAACAGGATACGGAGGGGAAAATGTCGCTTAGGTATTTCACGCTCGAAAGATATTCATAAGGAGTCATAACTGTCCCGGATCTTGTCAATCTTCCGATCGACGGAAACTCCCGAATCGTCGGACAAGCCAGGATTGGATTCGGAAAAAGACATCGGGCACTCCTCCATCATAGCAGAAGCATATGGCGCGTAACGTTTGCTTCGCCAATACATTCGTCATTGAATAGCGGCAGTGAGACGTCGAGCTCGGATATATGTACATATACGTTGTATAAAAATCTTTCCTCGTAACCGGAAGCTCAACGTTCAGGAATTGCTCATCTTGCAGCCAAATGTTCGCCCTACCTCAGGCAACATTCTGGACTGTCCGTCTTGGAGACTACTGGATCAAAACAACAGAAGGAACTGAGGCAACCATCAAGGTCAACCAAGGACAAATATATCTATCTATCAATTAAATCATTCGATGAATCTGTTATTAATCTGTGTTAAGCAGACTCGGAGCTCCCTCGCCACATCGAGGGGGCACATCGAGACGGATTCCGCTAATTTCGGTTATTCTTTTTGCTGAAGCAGGTCTCGCATATCTACCCCTTCCCTTGGTACAAGGGTTACGACCAGGACATCGCGCTGATTCGTTTGGACTCACCGGCAAACTGGACGAATTACATACGACCTGTTTGTCTCCCCAATGATGATGATGACTTCCAGGGTCTTACTTGTGTGGCGACCGGCTGGGGCAAAGTCGATAGTAGTCAGTAGCTCATCCCCGCTTTGGAAGTGCTTTCTTAGCTCAGCGAACTTGAAATTCATTGCTCTGTCGAAAACTGCGGTACATCCTTGAGAGAGCTTATGCCTGAATCCTAACGATCGATTCCAGATGCCAAAGCGTCGAACGTCCTGCAAGAAGTGTTCGTCCGAGTATTCGAGAGCACAATCTGCGATTCTGTCTACCGACCCAGATTCAAGATCGGGATCAAGAAACACCACATGTGCGCCGGAACATTAGATGGCGGCAGAGGAACATGTCATGTAAGCTCAGGGCAACCGCCACCGTTTCTCCAGCATGATACTCCGAGGGTGATTTAGTTGCAAGTAAATAGAGCTATCAGCGACTGATTTGTCGAAAATTGATCCGAATCGACATTACAGGGGGACAGCGGAGGTCCTCTCATGTGTCGTCTGCAGGATGGGCGGTGGTATTTGGCAGGAGTGACATCCTTCGGGTCCGGATGTGCGAAACGGGGATTCCCTGATGTCTTCTCGAATGTGCCCCACTACATGGAATGGATCCGTGAGATGATGGAACGCCACGAAAGAGAGGACGAAAGAAGAGACCCAACGTGGAACGGGATTTTCTAGCGTGCAGCCATTGGAAGCCGCATGAATCACTCGGTCCGACGCAGTTATCGAAGCGGATCTCAGCGTGGTATGATGAACCCGCAGGATCAGAGAAGATTCACAAATAAATCAGTATGGCAAATGATACCTATATATCATAGCAGAATTCCGCTTCTGTTCTCTTTTCCCAGCCCCATGCAGGTTCACTCACAATATATACATCAGGGATAAGACCGACTTTCGGATGACCAGTGATTCTAATAAGTTTTTGTCGACTTTTAGATCGAAGTTTGCTGTGGTCAGCATTCCGACGGGCCATGTGTGATTGAAAGACTCGCTCTCATCCCTTTATCTGATCAGTTCGATCAACATAATCAGTTGTTGATCAGCGCCGAGACCTTGACGAGTACTTTCGTCCATCGCCAGAGGAGCGGTGAAGCAATGTTAAGCAGAAGAAGTTTCTTTCTTTCAGCTACGACTAATCAGAGTCAACAAAAAGAGCGGTGGACGAAATGAATATTCATGCAAGCTCCGACTTCATGACCTCTCTTCCGTCAATATTCAGCAATATTCGCGTCCCAGAAAGTTCCGGCGCGATTATCGAGCTCCTCCGAACCTCACTCACTCAGATTTAACCGCACTTTTTTGAGGATGACGGATGACTAATTATACTCGGAAGTCGATATCATTATCGGGACAAAGAGGAAACATACTTTCCGAGACCTTGGAGGGTCGTACCACGCGCTCACTTTATCCCAGCTTTCCCGGCAAGCGATGCGTGTTGGGAGCGACTATGCCGAGGGCGCTTGAAGGCTCTAATGCGTTGTGATTCGAAAGAAAAACTCCTTCGGAATCTTCCGAGTTCTCTGCCTTTGTGCTGAATATTCTCGCGAAGATCCAAGGGACTCGTTCGGAGACGAGACGGACGAGAGAGGTATCATTCAGGTTCAGATGTTAAGCTCGCTGTCAGTCCAGTCCTGCTCAGCTGTCAGGCTCCACTCAGAGGACACCCTCTGCAAATCGGAGCTTTCAGAAATGTGGATGCTCCACTTTTTTGTGCATAGGAGACACCTGCATGGAACGAGTTTTCTTCTGGGAGAAGGCTCAGCATCCTTCTGTCTCTGCCGAACAATGGCAGCGGCCCATTTTCAATCAAACAATCATCAAATATATTTCTGACCTTCATAAATCTGAGGAATCCATCGTATTGTGAGAAGGTCCATCAGCCAAATCAGTCATTGGAAGCATCTCAAGGCGCATCGCAGAGCCTGACTTTGAGCCATCACTAACTTAATTTATGCCGCGAGGCCTTCCGGATGGCTCGAAGGCAGCCCCGGAGTTCCCCCGCGTCTTGCGCCCATGTCGATTCTTCCTCCCTGAATATTTTCTGAACGCTTTGCCTATAGTCCCTTCACAGAGATCACTGTTCTGGAGGAGTGGAGGAGTCGATTGGGATTGGGAGTTCAGTGTTGAGGAAACTTCTCCAGGAATCCATCCGATATAATTTATATTCGGGAGCGTTTCCACGGGAGCCACATGAAGCCCGTCTGGAAAGCGAAGTTCCCTTATCGATGACCGTGACCTTCTTCCGCATCGTAAGGGATCCCAATTTCGTTGCAGTGGCCATTCATTCCGCTCCGGAATTCGCAATCGATACCATGTCCTTCAACGAGCCTTCTAATTAGTATTCAGGAACACTCCGGTGGAGGCAGCGATATGGGCCAGGCAAAATGATGTCGGTGGGGAAGTCCCCGAATCACAGTCGGACACCTGTCGGACCGACGCAAGAGCGGGACAAGGGATTCGAAGGGAACTTCTGCAAAATAGACTCGGAATGCTCCCCGGCCGATTGCATGGGTGAACACAATTAATCTAGACGCAGAGAAAGGCATCGGGAAACTCGATCCGAAGTCCTAGTTATCGGCGCGGCGGCTTCGGATTTGCGAAGTACAGTCGGAGGTAATGATGATCCCTGCCTGCAGCCCGATGCGAATCGGGCGTTTCCTCATTCCGGGGTTTCACTCGGCATTCGATCCTGGCGCAGCTGACCAGAGAAGTTTCTGTCGTGGTCTGCGCGATTCCATGATCATGAGATGGATATTTGCCCGGAACCCTTGGTCCTGGGCTCACAGGACATCAGCTGCGTCGTTGATCTTGCTATCTGATCCACTTGCTCCACAGCCTCACGGAGGCTCCGCGCGCCCGTAAAGAATTTCTTCCTCTGGAGCAGGGCGAATATGCCCGGTCGAGGATGGGGTGTGCATCGCAGAAGAACTGCCAAGAAAGGCAATGAAGGCTTTCGGATAGCTTGGTCGTGAAATCATGCAGAGAGTAAGACTCACGAGCCGTCAACGACCAGATTCACCGACTCTCACGAGAGCCTCTGTCTCTCGGTGAAAGAAATACACGGGTCCATCTAGTGGCGGTCGAGGATCAGATGTCCGGACAATAGAGGATCGATCTCAAAGGAAACAACTCCACAGCGATTGAGGATATTGTGACAAAGATTGTTGGTGGAGCTAGATAGACGAACTCTCGCCCTGAGCTGCTCCCACGACAGCTCGGCACAGACCTAGAGGAGCTGTCGAGGATCCGAGGCTACCGTGCGAGGCACTCACCAGGGAAAGTACTCTATGGCACTATGATGGAGATTCCCGAGGTTCCCCGTACGGGGGCTCTCTCAATGTGGCTCATGCGCCCATAAAACTTCCAAACGATCCAGGGTGACTCCACAACAGAGGATTGGTACGGTCTAGTCAGAAATCCCAAAGATTCGATGAAAAGAAGTCTGAGAGGAATTTCGAATGGTTGAATCCTCTCTAAATGCCGTTGTGTACATGGAAGCATCTATCGCGTCGACACTCGCTGACCTTCGCTTTTTCTTGCGGAATTCGGAAGCCTCTTGGTTTCGTGTCCTATGAGGAATGTTCGGTATCGACAATAGCGACTCGATCTGTAGTCGTAGGGAAACTTTGATCATACCACCACGATGTTTCTCAATGATGCCATTTTGTGAGGTAATACAGCTCATTTGTCTTCCGAAAGGGTGAATAATGCGCAAGGAGATTTCTGACACAGAAACAATCGGGAAGGAACTAGACAGCGATTGATCAAGGGTGCTGAATGACGAATCGAAGCGAGAAATCCTCAAAAAAATTATGGAATGGACTCGATTTCTACCGAATGCTGTTGACATGATTCCATCAGCAGAATTATCGCTTGATGTGATTTAATCGGATGCTACGGCAATATTCCCGAGGGGGAGTGATCGAAGTCTAGGTTTTCGAGAAAGCACCGGTGGAACCCTCAATTGGAATTTCCATACTCCTGTTTCGTGATGACGGTTTTCGCCTGTTCGCAAATTATCTACTCTCTTTTTTTTTCTCGTCGAAGAAACTCGGAAAGGGGAGGGAATTATTCTGAGATGGATCAATGGAGAATCGGGAGAAAGTGATGAGACGCGCAACGCTCACCGCTTGCGTAGCAGGTTGATAGTTTGTAAAAGGTCAAAATTGAGGGAGGATCCGATCTGCAGCACAACGGTTCAAGTTCACGTCCATACGGCCGCCTTGCGGGTCCCATGATTAACGATCAAGCAAACGAGCCGAGAGGTGTTTTCGGGACTCCCTTCACCTCGGCTCGATATGGCGGCAAGAAGGCATCCCAGCAACTCCATACTAGTGCTCAATAGAGGACTCCATTAGTTCGATCAAAATCACCTGAGAGGCATATCTATGAACATCAGCCCCGGCCCTCGCTGCGTCGAAATCGAATGTCTTCGGATGCTCGGATGAGGGATCCAGAGGAGAGGAGTCGGGGGGAAGCCAAGAAGATACAAACTCGCTAGGGTCAGAACCCTAATAAATTCATCTCAGGCTATCTCCGGTACGATCTATCCCAGACGACGTCATTCGATCACTCAAATCAAAGTTTATTTCGGAATATTGTCTTCCACGCCGACGATTGGCTCGCCGAGACCCAATGTAGGCTCTGTATGAGCCGGGACGGATAAGCTTTGTGATCGGTGAACTGTGGTAGCGCAGCCGGTCACTTCGGCGGCAACCGACCGTTACTTTTCGCGGGTACCGGAACGAGAAATGTGGGAGAAAACGGAAATTTCTTACCGCTGGATTTGACCCCTTGACCCGGCGAGCCTGTTTCCCGCAAATTAATTTACTGCGGCACCGAAGTGAAATGCTGAGCCTGAGGTTTTCTGCTTCATCCGGAGGGAAGATTTTCATTTGCATCGCTAATACGTAACGTGAACAGAATTCTCTGATTGGGATCTTCGGGAGGCTATTGCAGCTTATGAGTTCACCTTTGTTTCTCTTTCAAGCAGAAGCTCGCCTAATAATCCTCCGGAATATCGTTCGCCTTCATTCCGGAGGACGCATCCTTAGTTGGACCGACGAGCCCCGGACATAACTCGGCAGCCACGACAGCGACCCGCTCAGACTTTTCCCGGCTGAAAATTCTTTCCAGCTTATGTGCCAAAATGCAAGACCATGACATCCGATCCTTCGGACATAGTCGGGAGAAACACCAAGCGACTGTCACCCCGAAACGCGTACCGTTTGAAGGGTTTTCTTTTTGTCCCTTAGGGTCTGCCTGCAAAACATTGCAGGAACCGATCAGTGGGTGAAGACAGCGCCCGAACGGGGCGTTGGGAAAACTTAGTGAAAAGCTTTCAGATGCCATCTGAGGTGCGCAACGGAGAGGAACAAGCATCTTTTGACCGCGGTGAGGCCGATAGCTCTATCGACTGGGCGTTCACTAAACGTACATCTTTTCCATCGTTTGTTCGTTCGTCCGTCGATAGATCGAACATCACTTGTGAAATCTGGTGACACCTAACGCTCGCTGCGGCATTTCGAAGACTGCTTTTTGAGCGCGATTCCTATTCTTCTCTCCAGGCAAGCATCAAAATTGATCTCTTCTCATATCGGTGACCACTCTTTGCAATCTTCCGCGAGGACGTTCACATTGTAGCCTTCGCTTTGAAGAAAGGCACCGCCGAAGGA